CCTAAGTAGTATGGTGAGGAGTTTATAAAATTTATTAATATTTAAGTGAACCAACTTTCAGTTTCATTAATTTTCTATATTTTCATGTTTTCTAATTAACATTTTTTATTCTAATTCATTTTCTTCTACTTTGGTTTAATTTACTCTCCTTTTTCTAGTTTCTTATGGAAGTTCTTACTTTTTTTTAAACTATGAAATATTTCAAACATACAGAAAATTACAGAGAATAACAGTGTATCCACACCACACACTTGCATTTTGGCACATTTGCTTTTTATCTGTCTTTAAATTATAGATACAGTTGAAGTCCTCATCTCATTCTCCCTTTTCCTCTCTCAATCTATCTAAACATGACCTTGAAGTTAATATTTCCTTCAACTTGTTTTTTCCATATATGTATTTTCCCTTAAATATTAAATACATAGTATTGCTTTATTATATTTTCAAAATTTACCTAAATGGAATAATCCTGTTTGTGTCTTCCATAGAATTTTTTATTCAGCATAGTTTTCAAGATTTGTCCATGTAAACAGAGATCTGTAATAAAGGTAGGGCAAAAGTAGGTTTACAGTTGTGAGTATGTGAAACAGTTTACTCTTGCATTTTTATTGTATTATTTTCCATGTGAACAACTGTAAACCTACTTTTGCCCCACCATACATATAATTTGGTTAATTTATTTTAACTGCTATATAATATTCTAATGATTAAACATACCATTTTTAATAATTAATAATTCTAATGGTTGTTTCTAATTTTTTGCCATTATAAACAGTATAAAAACGAACTTCCTTTTGCATGTCTGCTGACAACTTAGGTTATAGTTTCTTAGAGTGTATACCTAGAAATATAATTGCTAGGTTAAATGATAGTGAATATCTTCAACTTTAGTGGATGTTGTCATGTTTCTGTCTTTATTGTTTATACTAACATATTCCTATGAGTCAGAAAGGTAATTTCTGTATCAGGAATTGTACTTAGTTGTCAGTGATGGAGACTGGTAGTGGCTTATTACTTAGTTTGTGGTTTCGATTATTGAGACTGCTTCCTAGTCCAAGTTGGCACCTAGCATTCAGCTATCCACAGGAAGCAAGACAAAAGGGAAGAACTAAAAGGGCTGTCCTGGAATCATGATGGGACAGGTTTGTGTTGGCCTCTCATTGGCTCCCCTACTTTACATAAAAGACTGAGAACTATAGTTTTAGCTGGGCACAATGTACATAACAAAGGGGCTGGGGATGTTGGGTGGGCTATATACATTTATTGTGACAAATCTCACTGCTAATATTTGATATTATTAAATGTTTCAGTTTGAGCAGGCAGGTGGGTTTGAAGTGGTACCTCACTTTTAAAATTACGTTTATCTAATTATCTGTGAGATACAGAATTTTTTACTTGTGCATTTAGGTTTTCTCTTGTGTGACTTGCCTATTCATATCCATTTGCTATTCTTTTGTGTTGCTTGTTGCTAATTGATTTAGTATATGCTTTATTATTCAAGATACTAGTCCTTTTTTTTAAAATCCAAATAGATGTTCTTGTCTTAGTTTTAAACTTTTGGTATGATGTCCTTTATCATACAAAAATATTCATTATAATGGTGTTAAATTAGATAGGTCTTACTCTTTTCATGTATGTTTTTGGGAAGATTTTTTTTTCCTACCCTGAAGTCTTAGACTTTCAAAACGAAAATATTTTGCTTTTGCTTTTCTTTTTTAAACATTTTATTTATTTTTAGAGAGGGGGAAGGGAAGGAGGGAGAGAAACATCAATGTGTGGTTGCCTCTTGCACACCCCTTACTGGGGACCTGGTCTGCACCCCAGGGATGTGCCCTGACTAGGAATCCAACTGGTCGGTGAACCCTTTGGTTCGCAGGTTGGTGCTCGACCCACTGAACCACACCAGCCAGGGCTATTTTTGCTTTTCTGAAATTGCTTTTGGGAGTTTTTGTATTTTTATTTGTGAATGATTTGAGGTGATGATCTAATTTAGCTTTTTTATATATGGAGGCCACTGGTCTCAGCAGCATTCATGGAATAGTCCACACTTTGCCACTATTTGCTTTGCTACCTCTGTCATAAATCAAATTTCCTAGGTGTGTGTTTTTTTTTCAGTATGTTCCACTGGCATATTTACTTTCCCCCTGTATTAGTACCACCATCTTTTACTGTGATAGCTTTCTATAACAGTTTTTGTATGTTAGCTCAGTCCCCCTTCTTTAAAATCATGTGAGCTATGCTTGGCTCTTCTTTTCTGTTTAAGTTTTAGAATAAGCTTGTCCAGGTATGTGATAATTTCAATTAGAATCTAACTGAATTTTTAGGTCAATTTGGGGGCATTTGGCATCTTTGTGATCCTGAGTCTTCATACTTGTAAGCTCTGCTCTCTCTTTGGTCAGGTTGCTGTTATACCCTTTACTAACATTTTGTACTTGTTTTCATAAATGCTTTGCTTCTTTTGTTATAGTCTGAGCATTTATAGTTTTTGTTATTGATAGTGTTTTTTTAAAGAATTTTCTAGGTGGTTACTGCTGATACATAAGCACGTTATTGGTTTTCTCTGGATCCTGTCTCTAGGAACCTTATCTTGATCTTTGCAGTTCAGTTTTTCATTGTCTTCCACCTTTCTCTCAGTAAATCCAGGTTCAGTAATTTCTTTTGTATGTGAGTCAAATGGCCATTCCATCCTTTGCTTGAACGTGAGTAATGCTGCTGTCCCTGCTTTTTGAGGCAGCTCAGACCATTCCATTTTTCTTTCTTTAAATGCAGCTTGTTGCTGTTGTCTATCCTCAAGCCAAAAGGAACTACCAGAAGAAATAAGAAATTCATATTAGGTTATATACCTTCAGAAACTACAGACATTTCCCTCTCTGGCACTAATATGCTCTTTTCATCTTTAAATCTTAGTTTACATTTCCTTTATTTCCCCCGTTCCCATATCCTTCTTTCTCTTTTGGTTGCCTTTCTATTTTTCCATTCTCTTCTCTTCTCCCTTTGTTTTCTTAGCTATAGTTTTTACCAGCTACCAGGCACTCTATTTTGTATTTTACATATGTTAACTTATTTGATCTTTATCATAGTTCATTGAGGATGGTAGGGCAATCCCATTTCACAGATGTGGAATAGAGGGGTCCCATCTTATATAAGTTGGAAGTGGGAGAGCATGGATAAGAAGTCAGGCCTTTCAGACTCTAAATATCAGTGATCTTTCTATTGTACTTCACTACACCACTGAAGCTCAGTTCCTTCCTGTACTGTTATTCTAAATAGATGAGTTAAGTATGCTGTAATGAAAAAGTTCTAGTAAATGTATTGTGATGATGTCTTTAGATTAGAATAAATTCAAGTGTGTGTTTTGAGTGAAGGGTGTTACTCAGTCTTTTGTGAGAGTCATTGTGTATGAGCACTCAAAATAAAAGAGAAGACTTGAATATTAAAGTAAAAGTTTACGTCAGCTATGCTTTACAAAATAGTATTCTGTGAAGCCATGTAGCTACATGAGTGCTCTAGCAGGTGATCCTATTGTGAGAGTGCTGTATCTCTTCTCAATACTTATCAATACGTGCCTTCTCTATTTATAAGTTGGGTGCCCTTCCACTATAGGTATTGATAAGAGAAAGGAGTTAAGTAAACTGGATTCTATTTATGGCTATACCACTAATTAGCAGTGTTGTTCTGGGCAGGCATTTTACTTTTAGAGGCATTAATCTCATAATGCAGGTTCATGTGTGAGGGGTAGGAGATTAGTGGTAGAAAAATCTCTAAGGATCCAGCTGGACCCAGTCATTAGTGACAACATACATAATCAGTTTTAGATAATTCTTTGTCCTCATCCTGATAGTTGTTTTCACTCTTACAAGGTACTTGGTGGTACTTGCTCATATGTGCAAATACTTTGATAGCACTATAATCATGGTATTGGCTTATGTTCTACATTTTATTGTGCATACAGCTCGAGAACTGTATAGTTTTCAAAATAATATGGTTTTAAATAATCCCTTTAATGATGTACCATTTCCTCGTAATGAGGTTAGGTCAGTGGTTTCTAGTTTGTTTTTGTTTTGTAATTTATGATTGTTTAAATTAGGTTCCCAATCATGATTCTGTCAATGAGTATAGATACTTTTATTTCTCTTGTTTAGTTGTACAGTTGACTTCAAACTGTTTTAAAACACTCTATAATGTTGCCATCAGTTTTTAAATGATACAGTTTAATTATAGCCAGCATTCATTAATTTAAAGAATGTTTGAAGGGCATTCCATACCCTGATAGAATGTATGCCCTAGTAGGGACTATAGATGAAAAACACAAAGTTAAAATAAATCATATTTTATATTAGAAGATGATGAGGATTATGCCTCAAGTGCAGGTTATCTATTCATTGCCGATTATGCAAAACATAGCAAGGTAAGGTAAAGGGATGCTAAGAGTGGGATGACTTGCATTTTAAATGTTAACTCCTGAGAAGGTGGCACTTGAGCAAGGATTTGAGGCATTGGATTTGCTATATATATTTTTTCTGTCTCCCTTTCTTTTCTCTCTCTTTCTGTCTCCCTTTTTTTCTCTCTTCCTTTCTTTCCCTGTCTTTCCTGTCTCTCCCTCTCTTTCTTTTACTAATTTACAAAGTTTTTATAGTATCTCAAGATAACTATAATCTTTGTCTTTGTTAGTGAAAATGAACATTTCCCCATGTTTTCTATTTTTAGATTTAATTATAACAAAATTTGAAATTTTTATAAAAATGCTAAAGTTTTCTATGTAAGATGATTCCTATCCTTACAATTAAGAATGCAAGAAACTGGGCAAAGAAATTCATGTTTAAGCATGAGAAAAATATTCTGCCCAGAGCTTTGATAAGAAACCAAAATTTCTACTAAAACAAAATTAAAAAAAATAAGATTGCTTTTTTTTCTTTCATTGTATTTCTATTTTAAGTGAAGGGACAAATGGTACTTAATAATGAGATGTATAAGAATAACAAATATTTGTTATTTCATAGGGTGACTGTTGGATCTGTATGGAACTCATGTCTACCTCGTTTGATAAGTTTTACAAATATGTATATAGTGTATTAGATGATGTTATTCCAGAAGAAATTTTAGGCAAAATCACTTTAGCAGTAAGTACCTGGTTTTCAAATTGTTTATTTTATGTATAGTACTTATATAACAATGGTGCTGGAGTTTTGAGTGTGCATACCCAAATGTCCTTCACAGGATGTTATTAATTTTCTTAGAGAATCATTTGTAATGGGAAAAGAGATAAAATCACTTCTTTGGGGCAATTAACATAAATCATAACAATTTTCAAAATGTATTCTACATAAATACTGCAGTATTCTTTTCAATAAAATCACAGTGAACCATAATAGATGGTGGTGTCAGTAAGATTAGAAAAAGCAGTTTTCTGCTTTTTCCCCCTGCTGGCTTAATCATTTTAAAATATGTTGTATTATTAAAGTTATCCCTAAATTAATTAGAATCACAGCAGTTTCCTTTAAGTCTCTTAATTAAAACTCTTAGACAAAGTATTATTTCCTGTGGTTTAAGTAAGATTTGGGCTATCCAGTCTAAACTATGTAAATTTTTGACTAGCAATTTCAGTAACCAGCATTACTACTAATTTAGTCAATTCACTTTTACCAGAGTACCAAGAAAAAAGATGTACTTTTTGCTTGTGTGTTTATAGTTTTGAAAGTGAGGTCATGATTATTTCCTTTCTTGCTCTGAATCTTTTGGTCAACAAAGGTTGTTCATAATTATTTTTTTTCTGACAAAAATTTTGATAGAGTAAAATTAATAAGATTCTTAGAAATCCCTGTGAATCTGAATTAATTACATGATCTGGTTAGTGGTTATGTAAACTAAATTTTAGAGGAAGTTGTAAGATACTCTGGTTGCATATATTTTCCTATCTCTTCCTTCCCTGTATCCTCATCCTCCAGTGCAGGTTATCTATTCATTGCCATTTTATCCTGTTGAAGCACTAATGGTTAATGTTAAAAAGATGCAGTTTCTGAATTGTATTTAGTTATAAGAGAGGTGTGTGTGTAATTGAAATTTAAAAAACCAGATTAAACTTTAGTCATTATAATCTTAAGATTCATAGGTCTCATGTAATGTTTTAAGCTATTTAGCTGAATTGATGCTGAAATTTTTATGAGCTACATTTTAAGATATATACCCTTTCATGTATTTTATAAAACAAAGCTGAGTTTTACTACAAACTTGTTCATTATTCAGACTAGTATAGGAAATTTTATATTGCTCAATTTAGCCATCTCCAGTATACCAAACTCAATATTATCTTAGAATTTGTTAGTATTCTTAGGAGCAATAGTAGCATAATGATAAAAGCTAGTAGTTATTGAATGTTCATTTGTATCAGGCCAAGAGCTTACAACATTTTATCTTCATAGCAGCTCTGTATGGTACATAGCACAATTGTCTGTTTACAGATGACAGATCTGAAGTATGGAGAGGTTAAGTAATTAACTTGCTTTGAAGTTTATACAGTTGTAACTGGTACATGGTATAAGCCCAGGCAGCCTAATCCCAGAATTCTGTTTTTCACCACTATAAAACAGGGTGCTCATGGAGTTGGAAAACATAATAAAATTATTTGATCATATACTACAATATGTGTAGTGTAGATATACTATAAATAATTTGTTCTATATTTGCCTATGTTTCTAGACTTGGTGATCACCTTTTATATTAAGCACAACATTTAAAATTACTTTGTGTTAAATCTCTATTTGCTAATTAATAACTCAATGAACACACAAGCCTAGCTGTTTGAAACTTTATAGATTTGCGTGTTCTGTGTTCCTGATATCCATAAGCTTGATGGCAACCGAGACTTGACCTTTCTATAGCAAATAGCTGGCTTGTTGCAAATAGTTGGCCTGTTCTAGTTTGAGGTTGTAGACATTTTAAGTTAAGTCTCTGTTCCTTTCATTCATGAAGAAATTTCTGATATTGTGATTATGAGCAGTGATCAGACAGTAGGATAAATTCTGGGTAAGATGCCAATGTGGCTGAGTGGAGATACTGTGGCTCTTCAGAAATTACTCTGAAGGCTCCGTACCCAGTGAGGGTGAGTGAAGGTGAGACACTGAGAATCTGGAAAAAGTTACTAAATTAGGGTTGATAATGGAGCCAGCCTATTGGGCTTTCTTACACTACATATTTCTATTCTTGAAAAGTTTGAAGGTAAAGAAACATTATATAACTTGTCAATGACTTACTAAAAAATTATGTTACTTTTTTTTTTTTTTTTACTTTCAAGGAATGGTATATAAAGGCAACTTAATTTTCAGATTTAAAATCGTTATTCAGCATCTTCAGTTAACAAAAAAATGCATGAAATATTGAAACATTAAGCTTACGGAATGCATTGGGCTGTGTGGGCTGTTACAACAAACTGTTGTGCTGTTTGATTAAAAGGATACTGTTCATCTCATCTCTGCTTTTTCTTCCCAGACTGTGAAAGCACTAAACCACTTAAAAGAAAACTTGAAAATTATTCACAGAGGTGGGTATAGGATTGTTTTTTATAAAACATTTTTTTAATAGGAATAATAGAAAAAATATTGAAAATTAAATGTCACTTTTTTAGCAAAATGTACTATATGTATCCTAATACTTCATTGTCAATTTAGGGTTTTGGTTTTTTTTTTCCTTTTGGGAGTCTATAAATTCCAGTCTACCTTATTAATATGTTAGGCTTAGTAATTGAAAGAGGTTTTATGGTAAGTTCTTGTTATTCTTAGCTGGAAAATAATTATTCCTTCACTCAGTACATAGTGTTTCTGTGTATATGAGTAAGGCATGGAGATGGTCCTGTGAGCATGCAGAGAAGAATCAGAGTGTGGTACCCTTGTATTACAAAGGCACACTACCATCCCTATCAAGTGTATCTTCTCTACTTTAGAGGATAGTTGTGCAAATTGAGAGATTGTTTCACTAGTATTATACATTGGAATTCTTCTAAAGCATTTATATGTGTGAAAATAGTGATCTTGTCCTTATTAGACACAGATTAAAAATTTTAAACATTTGCTGTAGATCTATTGGAAGACAGTGGGAATACTGCATTTAATTCAGCAAGTAGACTAAATAGCTGCTCTATTTGTTACTGACAGACTAAGAGTAGTGAGTTAGTGGTTTTGAAAAGGGACATAAGTTCACTATTCCCAGTAAATTTGTAATGAACAAATGTAAGACAGTATGTGACACTGTATGATTCAGCCTGACAGTAAATATGATAGAAAGTCAAAGGTCATATTCAGAAATGTGAACCTTGAATTCAAAGAAACGTAGTTTCTAGTTGTTAAAGAAATTAGGAACTTGAGCATTTAAATAATTTTAGTTTGGAGTTGACCCTGGACCGGAAATTAGTTAACCTTGAACATCAGAATAATTCATTTACTTTTGCTGGGCTTGTTAACAGTAATATTAGATAAGCTTCTTATTTTCTCTTTTGGCCTAAAATCATGTAGTGCTAGGTCCCTAAACAAAAGTATTTTGTTCCTCCTTGTTCTTGTTTTGGGGTTGTCCTTCCTTTTTTTTTTTTCTTCTGTGTGCTGCAATTATGAGAGTATTGCTTTTACCTTAGGGTTGCTCAGATACCTTAGTGTACTCAGAGTATCACAATAAAGCACTAAGACCATGCCTGAGGAGGAGTAGAGTGAAAGGGAGAGGCTTCAGAAATAACTTTGATTTTTGTATTCTAAATCAAATGATCAGTTTATAGTAGTCTTTTTATTAAATTAGTTAGCTTTTTTGCTTCAGTTAGAGTGCATTTGATCACAGGTAACAGAAAATTCTGACAACTGGCTTAAACTTCAAGGAAATTCATTATCTGCTGTAATAAAGTCCAAAGTTAAGATGGCTCCTGGTACAATGTGATTAGAGTTCAACCTCTCTTCTTTAGGCTCTGTCCTTAATAGTGTGTCAGCTCCATCCTCAGGGTAGTAACAAGGAAAGCTGGTCTCTAGTGTCACGTCTAGACATGACAACTTCTTGAAGAAGCTCTCTTCCTGTGCAGCTGTCAGGAGCAGGCAAATCTTCTTCACATGTTTCTGTTTCTTTTGTCATTGATCAGAATTTTCTCACACCCTAACCTAAAACTAGTTCCTGCCCAGGAGCCTGACACTACCCTGGTAAGCTTAGACCAGTCAGGACTCAGTTTTTGAAGGTGCAGATAGAGTTACACAGTGTATTTACTTTTACCTTTACTTTTTGTTCATTGAGCCATAGTAGTGACAACACAATGGATAGAAATTAAGATAGAGATAGGGAATTGGTGAGCAAAGGGGAAGAACTGGCCAGGTAGCTGATTAGCAGACACTGGCAGTGAGTTGATTGTCAGTGAGGAAAAGGTGATAACCTAGGGGCTATTTTGGCAAGACTGTGTAAAAGCTCTAGATTTGGAAGGGATTTGGCTTTCTCAAATTTGCAGGGAAGCATAAACACTCTGGGTGTGATAAAAATGAATCTGCTTTCTCAAGGGTGACTCTTAAGAAAGGGTAGGTTGGGAGAAACTTGGTGAAGCCATCTCAAATCAGAAAAGTCTCTCAAGTGTAAATAATTAAGTGGATGCATTTATTGAGTATACATAATCTTCAGGCAGTGTATTAGGTAATTTAATTTTTTTTTTTATTTCATGGATGGGGAAATTGTGTTTGCTACTGAAAGTTCACAGGCCATGTTAAGAATTTCACATTGTGAATTTTAGATCCAGATTTTGAGCCTTTGCTTCTCTGATCCCAAAGCCTGTGGTATTCTGGATGTACTGGATTGGATACTTTCCTAAGTTAGTTAAATCTCTACTTTAACTAAATTGTGGGTTTATAATTCATATACTTTGTATTCAGTTATATACTCTTTGACACATATTGTAAAGTAGCTTAGTATACTATACCTGTACAGTTTAAATTCATTCTTTGTATTTTGACTGTTAAGTAATGAATTTGAAACAACTAAATAAATATGTCTCTTGATGGAAACAAAGACATTATAGAATGCCTAAATTTATTGTGTAGCATTTTTTGATATTGAGTTTTTAAGCATCTGTCTTCAGAGAAATTTCGTATTTCTCACCTTTTTATATATCTGAATTTTAAGGACTTGATCACTTATTGTCCAAGGTTTTTCAGTATTTTTACTTAAAGTACTTTAGAATGTAGCTCATTCGATTGATTACTTCTACACTGAATGACATCTTGTTCTTTCAGATATCAAACCTTCCAATATCCTTCTGGACAGAAGTGGAAACATTAAACTCTGTGACTTTGGCATCAGCGGACAGCTTGTGGACTCCATTGCCAAGACAAGAGATGCTGGGTGCAGGCCATACATGGCAGTAAGTGCAAAGTCCAAGCCTTCTTGCTTGACAGTCGTTGCGCAGAGGGCCCATGCCCTTTGGTGTTGTACTGCTAAGGGCTCTGTCATGGGTCACGCAGTTTTACCATGCCAGACTCATCCTCTTCCCTAAGGACCAAATGCAGGTTCTAGCTTCTCCATTAAACTTTGCAAAATTATCCAAGTGAGCTCCTGTTTTATTATCTTACTCTGTTCCTCTTATTTGGTACTTAGCCTTTGTGGTCTTCTCTAATTACTGGTTTTGTTTTTTTTTTCACCATATTCAGCTGTACTAATCAACCAGATGGTTAGTTCTTAGAAGGCTTCTTTGTGTTTTGTTAGCTCTGTATGTTATCTTGGATATAGTAGAGACCATTGTAGTAGATATGTTGAAAATGTGTCCTAGGCCATTAAGTGGTCCTATTCCCAGTTACAGGAGAACAGGAGGAGCCGGATTTGTGGTGGAGCTCAGTATATATTAGAGTCTGAGGCTATGTTTTGAATATTGTTGGTCCCTTCTTTAGAGGTGGACGAAGCAAACTAACAAACACTAGGGTAGACATCTTATATTTGCCAGCATGGAGCCTCTTTCCGTTCAGGAGGTAAGGCTACACTATCCTACACATATCATACTCATCTTACCCCAGTGCATTTGCACAGACTGTACCTGTAGCCTGGATTTTGATCTACATCTAACTGGAAATTGTGTCCGTATTTTAAACATTTCCTTACGTGGTGGTGTCTTTCTTAATGTGTCTGTGGTTCTTTGCGGAGCAGCAGACTACTCCCCAGAGTGGTGGTACACACAGGTTTTGTGTCATTTATTGAAGCATCCCTATCAGGAGTGTCTGTTTCAGTCTTTGAAGATTTTTTAAACTAAAAGTTATCTTAGTGCTGAGTAAAGTTTTTCTCTCCTTTTATTTGTTAGTTTTCTTTCTTGATTTATGTATTTTCAAATCCAGCACTATAAGCAACAGAAAAGTAAGAAAAATCATAAACTACATATTATAGCTTTTATGTCTTATTTGTGGATGGGCAGACTTAGTGCTACCCACAAATTTACATTTATTTTATGAGCTTGAATACATTTTATTTTCAGTGTTATTTAAAAGTAAATTTTATACTGACCATTCTTTCACTTTTCACTTATGTCTCAACTTATAAATAGTGTAAGGCACAGTATTACATGTATACTTTGTACATACATGTTCTGTTGCCTGTACTCTGGTCTTGTTTTTGAAAAACATTACATTTGAAAATTTTTCATTATTAACAATATTTTAGAATTATTGCTTTCAATGCCCTGTTTGTACTAACACCTTATCATGTCACTTTTTTCACAAGTGAAAATGTCAGAGGGTGTGTGTGTGTGTGTGTGTGTGTGTGTGTGTGTGTGTGTATTAATACACACAGAAAAGATCTTCATTTGTAGTTTGGACTTTGTGGGTGGTGACTGGGTAGGAAGGTTCTTGGGAAGATTTGGATGATTGTGCATTAAATCATAATAACTAGGAAGAAATGGAACAACCAGTTCAAAAGCAAGAGATTAAAAACAAATTAAACATGGACTATTTGAGAATTCATGTAATTTACACACTTAGTAACTATGCCTAAGAATTAAGTATAAACTGTTGATCTGTGCAAGTACTTTTAGGGCTTGTGTCAGTACTATGGTTATCTACGTGTTTTTCTGTGTAACATTGGCTAAGAATTATATTTGATTTATGTGAATTTTAAAAATACAATCATAGCCCTGATAGGGCTGGATGCATTTAGGTAACTTTTAAGAAAGAAGTAGACTTTCAGTTTTTGTGTAGCAGTAAGGCTCAGAGGCCGGGTAGGTGCACGGCTTTTCTTCTCCTGCTGACCCATTGCAGCCCTGGAGTCAGCAGTCTCAAAACCAACTGCCACTAACCTTTCCTGGACCAAATGAAATGCTTCTCTCCATTCCAGTCTTCTGAGGCCTATATAAATGGACAAGAATACAATCCACATTCATTTTACAAGCTGCTAAAAGTGACTTGACTTTCCTTTAATATGTCTTGTCAGAAGATATCAGCAGCAATGTATCTTGTCTTTTTAAGGTTTATCATTTGTCTATATAGGAATTGTGATTTCTTGGATTATATTTAACATCAGAAGTATATAAAGTGTAGAGCTTAAATTTCAGTTTTTTCCATGAGCCAGTTGTAAATGTTTTCCCACCTTCCTGCTTCCTCATCTGGGGGTGTGTATGCATGTGTGTATTTATATACACATATGTATTTGTATACATATACATGTACTTATACATTTAGGTGTGTATATATATATAAACAAGGTCTGTTTGAAAAAGTCTAGCCATTGTTAATATAAAGAGAATGGTTTGTGTGACATCAATGTAATCTGGCAGCCAAGGAGAGTGGACTGGAATGCACAAGTGTGAACAATGACAACTTCACTGTATTTGTCAGTGGGGGAGTACACACTGTTGAGTGAGCGTGTATACTATGTGACCATCACATTTAAAATGACTGAGTGAATAGAGCAACAAATCTGCATGAAAGTTTGCATTAAGCTCAAACATTCCTCTGTGGAAGATATTCAGATGATTCAGAAGGCTACAGCTATGGGAAACTGGTGATTGGCAGCTTCATCATGACAACGCACCCACTCGTACATCATGTCTCGTGCAGTTTTCTGGTGAAACTTCAAATCACCCAGGTGACTTAGCCCCACCTACAACCCATATTTGACACCCTGAGACTTCTGGCTTTTCCCAAAACTAAAATTACTTTTGAAAGGGAAGAAATTTCAGACTGTCAGTGAGATTCAGGAAAATATGATGGGCAACTGATGGTGATTGGGGGAACTATGTGAGGTCCCAAGGTGCCTACTTTGAAGGTCTCCTTCAAAAGTGTTATTGTCCTATGACCAGTGTTTCTTGTATCTTCTTCAATAAATGCTCTTTTTCATAGGCATCTGAATACTATCTGGAGAGACCTTGTATTTTTGGCAACAGAGAATATACTGCACTGAGTAACTTTTTCCATTCTTTCTCTGTTGGTATTTTTGTATCTAAAATGAGTCCTTTGTAGACAGCATATAGTAGGATTATGGTTCCTTATTTATTCTCTTAATCTTTACCTTTTGATTAGAGACTTTAATCCATTTACATTTAAAATAATTACTGATAAGGTATGACTTCTGTCTTTCATTTTCTGTGTATCTTATACCTGTTTTTGTACTTGTTTTCTGCTGCCTTTTTTTAAATTTGATTTTGATTTTTTTGTTGCATGTCTTATTTTTTTTCTTATTCTTCTTCTGTATATGTTTTAGATATTTTCTTAATGGTTACCATGTTCGTTACATTAGGTGTCCTAAATGTATAAGTTTTCTTTGAGTTATACCTACTTAGCTTTAAAAGTATACAAAAACTCTGCCAGTATACCATTCTACCTCCTATGTTATTGTCACTAATCTCTGTAAATGTTGTTTGCCTAATCATGTAGATTCATAATTAATTATTTTATCCATTTATCTTTTAAATCATATAAGAAGCAAAAAGAGGGGTTACAAACCAAAAATATAATCATAATGGCTTATATATTTACATATATAATTACCTTTACTAGAAGTCTATTTCCCATTATGATTCAGAATTTCTGTCTAGTGTCTTTTCATACTGTCTTTTGTTTATCTGTGAATGTCTTAACAGACTTTCAGTTTTGAAGGACAGTTTTTTTGGATTAGGGAATTCTTAGATGACAGTTTTTTTCTTTCAACACTTTAAATATGTCATTGCATTCCCTTCTGGCATCCATGGTTTCTGATGAGAAGTTAGCTGTTATTCTTGAAGATCCCTAATATGTGAGAAATCACTGCTTTCCTGTTGTTTTCAAGATTATCTCAGTCTTCAACAGTTCAGTTATAATGAGCATTGATGGGAATCTCTTTGTTTATTCCACTTGGCATTTGTTAAGCTTCTTGGACACATAGATTTGTGCTTTTTATCAAATTTGCACAGATTTTGACCACTATTTCTTCAAGTGTTTATTCTGCCCTATTATTTCTTCTCCTTCTTGGACTACTATAAGTATATTGGTACACTTAATGGTGTCCCACAAGTCTTTGAGTCTCTTCATTTTTTTTCATACTTTTTTCCTTGTGCTCCTCAGACTGGATAATTTCAGTTCACCTGTTTTCAAGTTTGCTGATTCTTCTGTCTGCTCAAGTATGCTATTCAAGCTCTCTAATGAATTTTTTATTTCAGTTACTATATGTTTTAGGAGCAGTCTTTCTGTTTGATTCCTTTTTAAAATGTCTCTTTATTGATACACTGTTTGTTGAGACCATGTTTACCTGGTGTCTTTGAACTCTTTGTCATGGTTTCCTTTGCTTTTTGATCATATTTAAGACAGTTGATGTAATGTTTGTCCAGTAAGTTCATGTCAGTGCTTCCTTGGGTACAGTTTCTGTTCCATTTCTCCAGTGGGGGGGGGGGGTCATACTTCCCAGTTTATTTGCATGCTTTGTAATTTATTGGTTAAATATGGGACATTTTGAATATTGTAATGTGAGGACACTGGACTCATATTTCCCCCCCTCCTCATTGTTTGTTTTGTCCCTTGCAGGATAAAGCTGTTTCTTTAGTGATTTTTCCAAAGTTTTAAATAAGTCTGTATATTAAATCATGTGTGATCTCTGATATGTCTGTTCTTATATTCAGCTATGTCTTGCCAGATTTTTGAGGGGTGAGGTGAAGGGGCAAAAGCAATCCAAAAAGGAAAAAAAATCCACAAAGAAAACAAAGGGGAAAAAACTCAAAACAACCGTTCCAGTTTGTGTAGATTAGCTTTGTGTTGGGACACTTCTTCAGTGCTTTGCCAGGTCATTTACAAATTTTCCTTAATTTTCAGTTCCTACTTGCCCTAAAGCTATATAGATCAGCAAAAGGTTAAAGTTTCTGGTCCTCTCGGGTCTTTTGTGTTTTGCCCAAGGTGTATACATGGCTTTCTACAT